GTGGGATTACCGTGTTCTTCTTTGTCTCTTGTTATAGCCTTTGTTTTAAAATCTATTTTGTCTACTATAAGTATTGCTACCCCCGCTTTTTTTCCCCATTTCCATTTTCGTGAAATATCTTTTACCATCCCATTACTTTTAGTCTGTGTGCGTCTTTCTATCTAAGTGAGCCTCTTGTAGGCAGCATATGTAAGACTCTGGTTTTCTTATCCATTCAGCCACCCTTCTGTCTTTTGATTGGAGCATTTAATCCATTTACATACAAAGTAATTGTTGATAGATATGTAGTTATTGCCATTTCATTATTCATATTTTTGGTCTTCTTCTTTTCTTCCTCCTCCTTCTCCTTCCCCTTCTATTTCTCCTTCTTCTTCTCGTCCTCTTCTTCTTCAAGAATTCTCTTTAATATTTCTTATAATACTGGTTTGGTGGTAATGAACTCCTTTTGCTTTTTTTTGTCTGGGAAGCTCTTTATCTGTCTTTTGATTCTAAATGATAGCTTTGCTGAATAGAGTAATCTTGGTATAAATTTTTGCTTTTCATTACTTTGAATATTTTGTGTCAATTCTTTCTATAAAGTTTCTGTTGAGAAATCAGCTCACAGTCCTGTGGGAGCTTCCTTGTAGGTAACTAACTGCTTTTCTTTTGTTGCTTTTAATCTTTGGTATTTTAATTATGATGTGTCTTGATGCGGGCCTCTTTGAGTTCATCTCGTTTGGGACTCTGTGCAGTTCCTGGGCTCATATGTCTATTTCTTTTGAAAAACTTTGGGAAGTTTTTCATTATTATTTCTTCAAATAGGTTTTCAATCCTTTGCTTGCTCTCTTCTTTTTCTGATTCCCTTATTATGAGAATATTGGTATACTTGATATCCCAGAGGCCCTTTAAACTATTTTCATTTATTTAGTTTCTTTTTTCTTGTTGCTGTTCTGACTGTGTGTTTTCTGCTACCTTATCTCCCAAATTGCTAATTCGATCCTCTGCTTCATCTAATCTGCTGTTTCTTTTAATGTATTCTTCATTTCAGTTTTTTTTTTTATGTTTTCTATTTCCATTTTTCTGTTTTCTATCTCTTTTTCGAAGTTCTCACTGGGATCATTGAACATCCTTATAACCAGTGTTCTGAATTCTGCATCTGATAGATTGTTTATCTCCATTTAGTTTAATTCCATTTCTGGGGCTTCGTTCTGTCCTTTTACTTGGGACATGTTTCTTTCTCTCCCCATTTTGGCTGCTTCCCTGTGTTTGCTTCTATGTATTGGGTCGGGCTCCTATGTCTCTTAATTTAGTAGAGTGGTCTTATGTAGTAGGTGTCCTGTGGGGCCCAGTAGTGCAGCTCCCTGGTCACCTGAGCCAGGTGCTCCAGGTGTGTCTCTTGTGTGGGTTGAATGTGCCTCCTATTGTAGTTGAGCCTTGATTGCTGTTTGCTCATCAGTGGGAGGGATTGACCCTCAGGCCGATTGGTTGTGAAGACTGGCTGTGACTACAGCGGAGGCGCTGTTGTGCAGAAGCTGACCCTATGGAGCAGGTTTCACTTTAACAGGGCTCTGGTGCCTGCGTAGTCTGTCCTTTGGGTGTGTCATTTGTGGAGATAGTTAGGTGGTGCTCTGGTATGGTCTGAAGCTGGCCACCAGGCATGCTGTTTCTGGGTCCTGTTGGAAGGTACTCTGGTGCAGGCCAAGGATAGCTGCTGCCTTTCCTTGCTGGGTGCCACTTGGTATGAGCTACAAAGTGATCTGCAGATGTTTGCCAATTGTACTAGGCTTGGAGGTGCCTGTTAGAGGCTAAACTGCAAACTGAGGCCAGCTGCCACTAGTGCCAGCTTTGGGGGTGCTTAACAAGAGGTATAGAGCATACCGAGGCCAGATGCTGCTTATTTGGGGTTTGTAAACCTTTGAAAGATTTTAGGAAAGTCTGCAGCATGGGCCAAGACAGGCTGTTTGTATGGAAAAGCTACTGGAAGTGACTTAGGTTGGCCCACAAGTTGGGTGGGGCAGGGTTTCAGGGAATCACCAGGGCAGAGTGAATGGTGTTCACCAGGTTCATGAAGACTCAGATATGGCTCCCACCTGTGTGTGCAAGCTGGTTCTGGGGAGGGCTCAACAGAAGAACAATGGCTTCTGTTAGTACTTCTGTCTGGGAGAAAGCTGCCCCTTCAGCCCTTGCCCTGAAGCCAGACAATTCAGCTTCCCATATGTCCCTGGTGCCTTTCAAGCTGCTGTCTCAGTGCTGGAGTTCAGAGTGAGTAAGCTCATGTTCAGACACTTCATGAAAAATGCCTGAGATTCCAACAGCCTTCCATCTCACTCAGCCAAAATCTCTGCTGGTTTTCACAGCAAGAAGTTGTGGGGACTTATCTTCCTGGCCCTGGAGCCTGGTATGGGGCTGGGACCCCTCACTCTTCAGGGGAGGATCTCTGCAGCCAAGATATCTCTCCCAATTTTTAATTGACACATGTGGGTGTGAGACCACCTTGTTCTGCATCTCCACCCCTCCTACTAGCACAGTTTCTTCTGTATGTCCTTAGTTATAGGACTTCTGTTTAGCTAGACTTCAGGGGATTCTTGATGATGGTTCTTCTGTAGTTATAATTTTGAGGTGGCCATGAGATGAGGCAAGCACAGCGTTTACCTACTCTTCCATCTTGACCAGAATTACTTCTGAAGGCCGGGAAGTCTAAGGTCAAAGCAGATTTAGTGTCTGGTGAGAGCCCTCTTCCTGATTCATAGATTGCCCCTTCTAGCTATAACCTCACACGGCAAAATGAGTAGTCCAGGTTTTATTAAAAGGAAAGATTTAAACTCAGATGCTTTTGTAAATCATTTACCCACATATGTTCTGCCAACAATCCCCTTTCCTTGATCCAGCTTTTATCTGAATGTGCAACTCCTAATGGCTTACATTCTACAAGGCTGAACTCAATGACATCTTTTATAAAATACCAGAAGTGACAGGAAAACATCTTTACCCTTAGAATCATCTATAAATTTAGGTTTCCCAGTCTAGGCAATATTTTAGAAACTTAAGAATGGAGGACTATAATTCATTTTTTTGAACCACACTAAATTTCTCCTGTGGCCACTTAAGTGTCTGTAATCTTTAAGATACTTGCATTAATCTTAATTTTGAAAAAGATTTTAGGTCTCCATCTTCCAAATTATAGCATGTTCTATATTTCAAATGTGGAGAGTATTATTAAGTCATTTCTCTGGCTTTTTGTGAGGTGAAATAATTACAGTTTATTTACTCAAAAGAGTGAGAGCACACCCAAAGTCCCTTTTGTACCAACTAGATTTAAAACGCTTAGGCTTTTTGGAGAGGGCAGAGTAAGGAATGATCAAAGTGGCATTAATTCTCAGGAAGAGAACACAGTGGTCTAAGGAAATTCATTTTAGAAATCTGCATATTTTCTAATGTGAAGCCCTGAAAACAGTTTCTAAATCCAACTATCTGATATACTCAGTTCCCATCTAAAGAGCGATTCTGTCTTTTCACTTTAAGTACTTTCACACTTTGAAAGTACTTAAAGTGTGAAAGTACTTTTAAGGCAAAAGTCAACCAACTCTTTGCTTATATAGTTTGCCCTTGGCTGTTTAGTCTTTCATGTAACAAGTATTAATTTAGCATGTATTTTGTGCTGGACAGTGTTCTAGGTCTTAAGGATGCAAAGACTACAGGAATAAAGAGAATAAAAATTAGCATTATAGCGGTTTATGATGAATTAAAGAAATATGCAAACAGAATATCAAAATGCAATGTGATGCATTCTAAATTAGAGCACAGAGGAAAGGAGAAAGAAACTCTAAAGGGTTCTGTGAAGATTTCATGAAAAAAAATGACATTTTTAAAGCAGAATCTTGACTAATGAGTGGGAGTCTACCCCAATGTAGAAATAGACAAAAAAGACTCTGAGTGAGAGTGTATATACAGAGACTGAATGTGTGAAAGAATATGGTATGATGGCAGAACAGGGAAATGTTTGATGTGCCTAAACCAGAGACACAAAGTGGAAGAAGATGTCCCTGGAAAAACTGACCTACCTGCCTGTGTACCCTACTCAATGGTTGGGCTTTATCCTGTAAAAGTAATAGGGTTTTAGCCAATGGGTGAACGCACCAATCTGTTTTAGGATGATCACTCTAGCAGAGCACCTCTCAGAGTCTGGCCCCAGACTAGCAGTGGCAGCAGCATCTGGAAACCTGATAGAAATCCACATTCTGGCCCCAACCTGACTTCAGAATCAGAAATTCTGGTCATGGGACTTGAGAATCTGTGTTATGTCAAGGCATCCAGCTGACTCTTCAATGGTAAATTGAAGTCTGAGAACCTCTGTTCTAGTAACAGTGTGGAGAATGAAGCGGCATAAAGGCAGATGGAAGCTCTATAGATTGTTCCAAATAGCTCAACGCTTGGCTCTGCTGAAATTGACCAGCAATCTCCCTCGATTACCGTTCCTTTAAATTATTCACTCAACCTCTATTCTATGTAGAATCCCTGCACTTTAGAATAAAAAACATTCCTTAATTTAAAAAAAAAAAAGAAAAAAGAGCCAAGGGCATGAGTTTGGGCTGGACAGGATGCATTAGAGAGACCTTTCTGAAACCTTAGCAGAAAATGAGCAAAGGATATCTGGAGCACCAGTTCTCAAATCTATCTGGGTAGTTTTTTAAAAATATAACTTCTGAGCCCAATACTCAAGTTAGCAAACAGAATCAGCATCTTGTATTGGGCTCTTCTTTCTCCGCTGCTCTTAAGTCTTCTTTGAATTTTGTGCTTTTTGTTTATGGAATCTTCCGTCTTGCTAAGGTTGTTCGACTACTTGCAATTTTTGAGGATTTCTGCTAAGTACCACCTGCCTTCTTTATAGTGGAAGACAGCCTTACAGCATCAGAGTTGGGAGGGGCTGTCAATACCCATAGACCTATGGCTCTCAATTCATAAATCCCCTGGACAACAAGCAGTTTTTGTTTTTGTTTTCATTTTGTTTTGTTTTGACTCAGGCTCAACTTCGAGCAAAAGAAATTAGAATTCCTAGCAGTGAAGTATTTCTAAAACGCTCCCTACGTGATCCTAATGAACTAGCACTAATCACTGCAAAGTAGTCCATCACCTTCATTTTAGTAAGAAGTCTTCAAAAAAGAAAGATCCTAGGGTCAAGAAAGAGCACGTTATATAACCTGAGTGTATTAAAATGCTTAAGAGGTGGAGGGGGATGAGTACTGAGGAAAGATCATCGTATTTAGAAATGAGGATGATACTGTTGGACTTAACAGGCACAGGTAGCTGAACAAAGTCAGCTATTAGAATCTCTCCCCAATAACTAAAGCAACAAACAAGATATTAAAAACAAACACAAAAGCTGAAAGGAAGCAATAAAAATGTATCAGGCATAATTAAACAAGAAAAAAAGGAACAACTTTATGTCATATGCTTTGAAAAAGAGGCAAAAGGGAAGGAACAAATGATTCTGGAATGGTACAATCTGGTGTGGATCCTGACTGCTTCTTCTCCACCAGAAGCATTGCTGAGGAAAGCTGTGAATGAGGCAACAACATCTTGAGCTTTCTCATTAACACTATTCAGTTTGCAAGGAAATGGACCAAAGGCATGGATTGGCATCCTTGGGAAAAATTGTAGGAGAGCCTTCCAGATTAGAAGCCTTTTTGTCCCTTGGGGTCCTTGGAAGATGTTAGTACTACAAAGCTTCTCACCTTCTAAGACAGACATTGTGTTAAGTTGGAGTGATGAGCTCAATCTCATGGGAGTAGAATATATTCCTTGCTAGGTGGATTATAGAATCTCAAAACACTTTTAAAACTCATGACCCCTGGGCTCAGACTTCAGCCCCAGCTTGCCTCTACCTTCACCCTGTTCATACTAGCAGACTACAGAAAATTGAACTAAAAGCAACATTTAGCCTTAAAATTGGAAAGGCACAATAAACTGGTCTCAAAATAAGGTGGAGAACATGTCAAATAGAATCCATTACACCACATAAGAGCAATTAGACATTTGAGCAGCACTGTCTATTTAAAGCATGCATAATTCCCGCCTGCTCGACAGGTGTTCTATGACTAAAAACTAAACTAAACTAAAAAATGAAAAGAAGAGCGCATACAAAAGATGGGCAAAGAACCCAGTCTGGAAGAAAACGTAAACCAAAAATTAGATTTCCCATGAGTGCATCCTTCTAAAGACTTTATTTAAAAAATAATAATAATAATTCGAGAAGATTCTAATATTGCTCAAGACAAGGGGTGAGGGATAAACCAGATCCTAAAGAGTAAAGAATGGGGTATGGGGTAAGTAGGGCTTTATTATGATAATGAGTAAAAGAAGAAAATCAGAAGTATGAGGGTTTATCTGAGAAAAGAGAGGAAATTATGATTATTTTTTTATTATGAGATGGAACCACTGAGTATGTTTGTAGGCTAAGGATGATAATCAAAAATACAGAGACTTATCAGTCTTAAAAAAAAAAAAAAGAGATTCTGACACATGCTGCGATATGTATGAACCTTGCTAAGTGAGACAAGTCGGTCACTAAAAAAACAAATGCTGTATGATCCCGCTTATATGAGGTATCTAAAGTAGTCGAACTCATAGAAACTGAAAGTAGAATGGTGGTTGCCAGGGGCTGGGGAGATGTTGGTCAGTGGATACAGAGCTTCAGCTTTGCAAGACAAAAAAAGCTCTAGAACTCTGTTGTACAACAGCGTGAATATACTTAACGCTACTGTACACTTAAAATGGTTAAGATGGTAAATTTTATGTTATGCATTTTTTATTACCATTATTAATTAATTAATATAAATAAATAAATAAATTGTCTTAAGGGCTAAATTGCCACCTTTTATCATCTTGCTCTGAGTGTTGCTGTTTATCCGGTTAGAATGATTTCCATCCTGTCTGATAGCAAGGAATTCTGATTCAACAAAGTGGAGATAAAAGTCAAAAGATGGAGAAAAACTAAAATTTAGCGGCATCATTTGAGCCACTGGGTCAAATTTTACCAGAAACAATAAACTTTGAAATTTTCAGTTAGGAGAGACACCAAAACACCTTTTTTCTCTTTAAAAGAGAAGAGAAGATAAAGGATTCCTATTAGATCCAGCCTGACTTTAATTATATCCTCCAGACCACAATGTAGAAAATAACTTGGACTAAACAATTTTTTAAATAATAGGTTAATAACTTTTCATAGTAAGTCAATAATAGATTACAAGTACTCTATCACAACTTAATCTTCATTTAGGTCAATGAGTGTTAATTAATTGGTTATGGATTGGCTCTGGCGCATTTTCTGTATAATCTAACAGTGCTGGCTGTGTTCATTAGCAGAAAAATGAACTGTGGCCTCTGTGTTGAGCAACAGCTTTGCTTTCTCATACAAAACCGTTTCAAGTCAACTGCAACGCTCCAATATCCATATAAGTTCTGGAATTCTCACAGAAGGATTTGCGAGATAATTCTTATTCATTTTGGAGCAATTCGCCTTCTGTGCACCCACTTTCCTATTTGGTTATTTTTTACCATTACTCAAGCTGGAGATTCCGGTCTGCCTGTAATGAGCCAGACACCCAAACTGCTTTTTAGGGTGGTCAGCAAGGCTCTCTAATTTTAAAATATCCAAAAATTTCAATTTGAGGTGGGAAGAACCCTAGAATTACATCAACTACAAGATGAATGGAATGGGTTTTTTATTTCTCCTCTGCGCAATACAAAGAGAAAACTTTCATCGGATTTAATTGTCTCTCCTTTCATTGATCTCTGGCTCTTATAAGAAGGTGCAAGATAGATGGTTAAAAAAATCAGAAAGTGTCTGTACTCATAGTAATCTCTGTTGAAAATGACTAACAGCTATTCCAAAGGACAAATAGCTTAAAGAGCTGAAAACACTAGTGAGCCATTGTAAGCCAATCAGTATAGAAAGCAAATGTCTGGTGTGTCAGAATAACAGTCTGTTAGGGGAGGAATTTTTTGGAATTGAAGATGTCCCAGATGACTTTTTAAATGGTTCAATTAAAATCGTAGTTTACAAACAACATTATAGCATGGTTTATCTAACATTAGAACATTTTCATTTACTCATTTGTATAATAGCTGAGAAATATTCACTCAGTGGATATATAACACATATTCTTTTTAACCTTCTGTTTAATACTTTAGCTGTTTCATGAACATCTTAATCCATGTTGATTTTCTTGTATTGTGAACTATTTCATATAACAGATTCTCAGAAAAGGAATTATGGGGTCAAAGGGTAAGAATGTTTTTATAGTTCTTGATTCATGCTGCTCAATTGATTTGCAAAAAAATATTTAGTCGATTGAATAAATATTTAGTCTCACTTTCTCCCTGTTAACACTGAATATCATTAAAATAATTTTTATTATAATTAAAAGAGAGGAAATGTTCTTTGTACTTATATGACTACTACTGAAATTAAACATTTGCTACATGTTCTTTATTAGTTTATTTCCCTTTTTGTGAATTGTTTGTTTATGTAATAGTTCATAAAGCAGTGAATGAAGTGAGGTTTATTTCTGAAACTTCCTGATGCCCTCAAACTCTTCCTTTCACTCATCTCGACTACCTGTTATTACAGGCCAGAAAAATTCCCCTGATGCTCTACTGTTACACTGGGAAACTAAGTGAGGATATTTACATTGCCATGTGGTTCCAGGCAAATCCCAGGGGCCTCTATGTCACCCACTTCCTTCTTGCTGCCCTTTACCACCTATGAGAAATGATACTGCCATTTCGGCTTTTGGAGCACTTATTTCTGAAATCAGAAATCAATGTTTCCCAACATTGACTGCACATTAGAATCTTCTGGAGAACTTTTAAAATTCCCAGTATCCAGTACATTCTGCACACCAATTAAATCAGAATTTCTGGGTCTGGCATGTGGCATCGATGTTTTCAAAAGCCCCCTTGAGGGTTCCAAAATACAGCCAAGGCTGGGAGCCGTTGCTTTAAATCCACAGTCATAGGAGCCCTGTTAGGCACTGAGGGGACAAAGGCCCATATGTCCCCTGTCCTCGGGGAGCTCACAGCTGTGTGATTTGGGTAGCAAAGCACTCTATGAGTGTTTTAAAAAGGAAAGGTGTATGTATATGCATATATCAATGTATATATATACGTATATACATATATATGCACACACACACATATATTATGTATATGTATATGCATATATCAATGTATATATATACGTATATACATATATATGCACACACACACTTTATTAACTATAACTTGATCAACCTGTGACATCCATTTAATGGAATTTTTCTGCCTGCAGTTTCTGTCATTAAGATGTAAATTGTATAAAAACAGACTTGTTAAAAACACATGTAGCAAAGGCTGAGAGATTGGTGATGATCTCTAAATTTTTCTGTCACTACTAACTTAAAGTATCAATTCTCCCTGTAAGAAATTGATTTTTCAAAACAAAGACCTTAAAGCAGGGGTCCATAAACCCTGTGCTGTGGAAGGATATCTGTCGTGGCTTATTAGGAACCAGTCCACACAGCAGGAGGTGAACAGTGGGAGAGTGAGTGAAGCTTCATCTGTATTTGCAGCCACTCCCCAGTGCTAGCATCACCGCCTCAGCAACATCTCAGATCATCAGGCATTGGATTCTCACAGGAACACCGGTCCCTGGTACCGAAAAGGTTGGGTGGGGACCGCTGCCTTAAAGCACTATCAGATTCTGACTTGCTTGAGAAATGGTTGGTTATGTTCACTAAGCTATATTTACTGAAGCAAAATATATGTGTACAGCTTAGGAGAATCATTTAAAAAATAGAGGCAAGAAGGGTTTTCACTTCATTTCTCTTAACAAGATATTTAAACTCACGTATATTTTATACTATCCCTCCCTCAGTACTTATCCCTTCACTAGGTGGTGCTCTGGACGAATTCATAAGCTGTAGGCTTTGCCACAGTTAATGTCCCTTTAGAAAAACAAGTCTCATTCTGGGACAGAAATGTCTATTCATTCATGATCTGGATCTAAAGTAATCAGAAATGGTTTCCTTATCTTTTACTAATTAAGAAATAAAGTTAGGCCTGCTTGAACAATATTTATAACTAT